AGTGCCCCTTTCGGCTCTGCAGGTCAGCCTGTTGTCAGGAGTGGCATTTGGCCACGGCCCCGGTGGCCACTGGCGTCCTGTCAACCCCCTGGCCAAGGAAAAGTGGTTCCCACCCCCCCTGAATCCCCCCAAACCACGCGGCCCCCCGGGAGCGGTTAAACAGAGCCCTGGGAAGTGCCAGCAGCCGGATCCGGCAGTGCCGGGAGGGGGCAAAGGTGGGGGCAGAGCCCCCTCAAACCCAGCCCTGCCGGGGCTGCTTGCACCTGCTCGGAGGGATCCTGGTTAATGAGGAACTGGGTTTTCAATTATAAAACTGGCGAGTGAATATGAAAAACAAGGGAGGGTGCTTAGGGGCTTTTTGGAAGGTTTAGGGGAGGCAGTGTTTTCCCAGCCATTTGCACTCATGGGCACCATGGGGCTTTCGTGGGTGCGCAGCGACTTGGGCACGTGCCAGGGATAATTTGCACACGCACAGCGACTTGGGCACGTGCCAGGGATAATTTGCACACGCACAGCGACTTGGGCACGTGTTTGCACTGTACATTTTCACTGTATGGACGGGCACAGTGACTCAGGGACAGTCCCGTGCCCAGTGGCTTTTGTACCTTGTGGAAAGGGGAATTGGAGCACAGTGCCATCCGTGCGGAGCCGTTTGCACACGCAGGGCTGCGCACCGCGACATCTCAGTGAAATCCTCTTGTGCAAGGGGACGTTTGCACACTCGGGGCGCTTTGTGCTGAGCTCAGGCCGTGTCTGCAGGTACACAGTGACGCTGGCACTGTCACATTTGCATGTGCAAGGCACAGCACCCGCTGGCACGGTGACATTGGCACAAGCACAGTGACATTTGCCCACTCCTTGCACCCTTTGCACACCCAGGGTCGCTGTCCCTGCCCAACCCTCACGCTCCCAGCACCCTTCCAACTGCACAAACCCCTTTCCCCTTGTGACCCCACCTACTAAAATTACCCCCTAATTAACTCACCCTAATGAAGGGGGCGTGTCCCAGGGCCTCCCACCCCTTACATCCCACTTTGCTGCCTTTGCCCCTCATCCACAGCCCCAGCCCCAGTCCTTCCCAAATCCCTCCCGGGGCAGCAAATTGCTTTAACCCAAAGAATTATAAAACAAAGTAAATCACTGAGGAGACAACAAAACCCAAGTTTAGGGACAAATTAACCCTATGAGTTAATTTTTTTTCCCATCTTCGTGTGGTCTCTGGCTCCCCACACATGTGACGAGTTGGGCACCAGGGTCAGTCCTCAGCCAAGGGACCGCAGAGGCATTTTGGGACCCAGCCCCATCGCATTTCGCTCAAAGAGGGGGTTTTATCCGCCGAGGCTCCAGCTGCCATCCCCAATCCTGCGGTGGGTTTGGGATAGGCCAGGGAACGTTGCTAATTATAGGGAAGGAACCATGTATTTACAGAGGCAGCTCCCAGCACCAAACCGCCAGCGGCTGCTTTAGCTCCGCTGAGTCTCTCTGTTCTCTCTCTTTCCCGGGCGCTGCTGTCCACAAAAAAATAAAAAGGGGGGATGAATTAAAAATAAATCCCCCTTGGTGATTTGCAAGAGGCACTTTAGCAGAGGAGGAGGAGGAGGAGGCTGAAGGAGGGCAGGAGCAGGGGGGTGGCAGGGCGGGTGGCAGCGTTGCAGTGGCCTCGGTTGGAGCCGATGCAGGCGGCGTAGGCCATGGCGTGGGGGATGTAGTTCTGCTCGTGGACCCCGTGCAGCAGGTGGGCCATGGGCCCGCGGGCGAACACGGCCACGTCCTCGCCACCGTGGGTCTCCTGCCGCAGCGGCACGGCTGACTGCGCCTGGTAGTCGGCGTGTGCTGGGGTAAACAGCACAGGTGAGAATCGTGTCAGAACCCAGCTCATTTTAGCCAAGTTGGGATGATTTTAAGGGGTTTTGGCCTAAAACTCGCTCACCGAAATCCACGGCAGAGACGTTTTCTCGCTCGCCTGCCACGATTTTATAGCCGGGGCCGTTGCCGTAGAGGATGGAGGTGAAGGGTTTGCGGTCCACATCGCTCTGCATCGGGGCCAGGCCTGGTGGGGTGGCACAGTCACCGGGAGGGAATCCCCCCAGGGTGTCCCCAAGCTGTCCCCACGGTGTCCCCAGGCTCTCCCCACGGTGTCCCCAGGCTGTCCCCAGGCTGTCCCCAAGCTGTCCCCAAGCTGTTCCCGGCACCATGGCCGGGCAGAGCTCACCGAAGATGGGGTTCCCGCGGGGGGTGTAGCCACCAAAGGTGAAGACGTGCGAGTGGTCAGCGGTGACGACGCTGAGCGTGTCCTGGGTGGACGTGAGGCGTGTGGCCAGCCCAATGGCCCTGTCCAGCTCCACAGCCTCGTGCAGCGCCTGCTTTGCCTTCCCCTCGTGATGCCCGTGGTCGATGCGGCCGCCTGCGGAGCCCAGCGCTGCTCATATTGCCCTCCCCTCCTCTTCCCAGCCTCGCACTCCCCTTTATTCCCTGTCTGGATCTCCCCATCACCCTATTTACCCCCCTTTTTACATTCCACATCCTCCCTTTTGCACTCCCATCAGCTCTCTTATTCTTCCTTTTTATCCCCCTACCCTTAATCTGTTTTAGCGTTCCACCTTCACCCCTTTTATCCCTTTTTGCACCTTCATTGTCCCTGTTACCTCTCTTTTTGCATTCCCCCATATCCCCTTTATCTGTCATTTGTGTCCCCCCCACCACCCCCTTATCCTTCCTCCTCATCCCCTTTTTTTGCACTCACATCTCCTCATTATCCTCCCTCTTTGTGCCATCACCCTTAATCCCCATTTTTGTTCTTCCTTCACTCCATTTCCCATCCTTTTGCACGGTCCAGTCCTCACTTTTTGTACCTCCCCTTCGTCCAATTTCCCCACCTTTCTGCAGCCTCTTTTGTACCTCATCACCCCCTTTTTCCTCCCCTTTTTGTATCCCCATCACTCCCTTTGCACCCTTTTATCGAATCCCCTCCCTTTTTGCACCCCCATGAACTCCCACCTTCAACCAGGAGGAAGAACCCCCGGGGATTTTTCTGGAGTATCCTGATGGCCACGGACACCATCTCGCTGAGGGATGGATCTGTCTCGTTGTTCCTGTCCAGCTCGTACACCATGTCCCCTGGCTCGAAGAGGCCTGGGGACAGGGACACTGCTGGGCACATCCTTTTCCCACCAAAAGAAAAAGGGGGGGCCAAATCCTGCTCCTTGTGCTGGCTCAAGCGTTTCACACAGCACCGGATCCAGGGAGATCAGATAGAACCCGGGGATAATCCCAGCCCTTCCTTCCTCCTGCCCGGCAGGATTCCACATTCCAAATGGGATGGGAATTTCACTGCTGACAAAAGAGCTGCATCCCTAGCAGGGAGCTGTGTCCCAGGGTGGGAGCAGCAGCATCCCTGGGGGTGTAACATCGTCCTCGGTGGGCAGCACATCCTCGAGAGCACCCCAACATCCCCAGGGTGGGGCACCGGCATTTCCTGGGATTGCAGCCCCTTTGGGAGGTACCAGCACCCCTGGGGGCAGCGGTAGCCCCACCCTTGGGGATGTAACAGCATCCCTTCGGGATATCAGCATCCCCAGGGGGGTAACAGGATCGTCCAGCACCCCCAAGGGATCAGAACCATCTTTGGGGCACGTCCAGGACAGGGCAGCAGCACCCTTGAGAGGATAACTGGCCACCGCAGCTGGCCCAGCACCCTAGGACAGTACAGGGGTGCCCCTAGAGCACCCAGCTGCTGCCAGGGCACCCTTGGGTGCAGGGACTCACCCAGCAGGAAGTCGGTGCGGCTGAGGTTGAGCGCCAGCAGCCCCCGCCGGTGCCACACGTACTCAGCAACCTGGGGACAGGGGACAGGGGCATTGTCACCTTTCCACTGCCTCTGCCACCCCCGCAGATGCTCCCCAAAATATTCCATCCCCTAGGAACGGCTCTGTAGGGTTGCAGTGGGGTGATGTGTGTGTACCCCCACCCCCAGAGAGTCCCTGGTCACCTTGCCACGGGGCTTGGCCTCCTGCCATGCCTGGACCAGGTTCCTGCCGTCCAGGCGGGTGCCCCGATGCTTCTCCTCGTGGGGATATTCCGCATCACTGAAATTTTTGGGGTACATGTATTTCCGCCCCCCACCCAGGATCACCTGCAAAAGAGGGGAGGAAATGTAGTTTTAAATAGCTTTTAATTGTTTTAAATTTCCCCCTCCAGCTGGGGTTTAATGGGGAAGACCCTGAAGGGGCGGAATGGGATGTCCAGGAAAGCCCTGGCACTGTGGGCAAAAACACCCGAGGAATTTCACCTCGCCCAAAATAACCCTGAATCTCTTCCTATTAATTAAAACTGAGGACAGAAATAACCATTTCAAGCAGGGATTTGGCTTTTTGAATATTTTTTTTTCCCCCATCTGTGGGAAGGATGCTCCACATCGGGATCCCCACATGAACCCACTGGAATGGAGCCCCATCCCGTGGCTCTCCCTGTTTGCTTTGGAGCCTGATTTATTTGGCCTCTGTTATTTATAACCTAGCAGAGATTTTATGGTTTTTTTGTATTTTTTCCCCCCCTTTCTCTGCTTAGAAGGTGAATTATAAAGCTGCAAAACACCAACGCCAAAATTATTAACAAAAAAAAAAGGGAAAGAAAAGTCTTTTCCCCACTATATAATTATTTCCAGCCTGGGACAGAGTTAAAATTATATTAAAGGGAAAAAAAAAAAAAAAAAAACCCAGCAAAAGAGGCTATTAAAGAGCTAAATAACAGGCTGGGATGTTTTGCTTTGGGGCTATTTTGAAGGACAGAAGAAGATTTATTTACAGTGCTGAATTTCTGCATAAATCCACAGCAGGGAGCAGAACTGGGGGTAAAAGGAAGAGTTTTGAGTCTGGGAAGTACGGGAAAGGAGGAGGCAAGGATAGATTTGTGGGTCTGTGGCTTGGTCCTTGGTGCTTGTGGTCCCAGCCTATGTTTGAGTGTCCTGGGGCCGTGTCCACCTGAAAGTGCTGGTACCCCACCCATGGTGGTCCCCACTCTGTGCCCATGGGTGGTCCTGAGCCCACATCTGCTGGGGGCTCTGACTCTGACCATTGTGTGGTCCTGGTTGTGCCCCCATGGGTGGTCCCAGTCCACCATCGCACTGGGGTCCCAGCTTTGCACCCATTGCTGGTCCTGGCCCCATATGTACCCACAATCCTGGTCCTGCACCCATGAGTGCTCTCAGCCTCACATCTGTGGGGTGCTCCTTGTCTTGTATCCACTCACAGTCCTGACCCTGCACCCCTTGGTGGCTCCAGCCCAGCATCTCCTGGGAGCTGTGGCTCTTCAGCTGTTGGTGGTCCTGGTCACACATCTATCCACAGCCCTGTCCCCACCCTTGGGTGGCTCCAGCCCCCACCCCAGGCTGCCCTGGTCCCATCCCCACTGACTCTAGGGCACATTCCTGGCGTCCTCATCCCTACCTCAATCTCAGGGATGTTCTCCACCAGCTGCCGGGCGATGTCCTTGCAGCCACCCTCCAGGGCATCCGGGGGCATCTCTGCATCCGAGTACCAGTCACGGTTGGCAGAGTGGGCGTAGGCAGCGCTGGGTGTGGCGTGGGTCACTCGTGTGGTGGTGACAATGCCCACGGCCTTGCCTGCTCCACCAGTTCAGGGGACAAGGGTGAGATCAGCCCCAAAACGCCCGGCTTGGCCTCCTGCCCAGGTCTGCCCGCCCCTCACCTGCCTCCTTGGCCCAGCGGAGGATGGAGGTCACCTCCTGGCCCTTGGTGGTGTTGCAGCGGTCCCGGGTGACGCCGGCGCTCACCCCCAGGGTCCCCTCGTTGGCTTTGACGCCGCACAGGTAGGCGGTGGCAGTGCCGGCGCTGTCGGGCACCTGGGCATTGGTGTTGTAGGTCTGGAAGGTGGGAGATGGATAAAGCACCGTAGTGATCAGCACCACCATTCCCCCTCCGGGCCGTCCCTCCCTGCACCAGACCCCCCATCCCACCCGTGTCTCCTCCCTTTCGCCCTTTGCCCCCCGTTTTACC